TTGGGGACCGCTGTGTTAGCCTACTACTATCCTATGCGTCATCAGCACAGCACTGAAAGCATGACGTTAGCATCATATGGAGTTTTTATTCCATTTTAATTGATAGAATAGATGAGACATGCAGTGTTTACTGTTTTCCTTTTGCCTGTTTCCTCTCTGACAGCTCAAGTGTTACTAAAGCGGCTCTATTTTGTGTAAAAAGCACACTTGAGACAACCCTCACGGCTTTGATTCCAGTATGAAATTCATCCTTTTAGAGTTACACTTCCAAAGCATTGTTGAGGCTTTGTGCTGCTGTTACGCAATGATCCCATTCTGCCAAGCTGCTTAGACAGTCGGCTAACAGCCACAAGCAGCTCGCTCTGTCCTGCTGCTGTCTTGTGTATTCATACTGGCCAGAGAGGGAATCTGAACGCTGAAAACCATCCACACACATATTTCACATTTCTGGGGTTCGTCTCTGGGCTGCGTTTCAGGATCCAGCTGGATTTGCAGTGTACGAGCCATTCACGGTGGTGACGATGGGAGAGGGCTTCCAGTCTGGCTGGTAAAAGTGGATGTCACGAGTTCGAGCCCAGTTTGCAAATACCGCCTTCTCTGTGATGAAACGGTGGTGGCTTCCTCGCCGATTTCTCTCGTGAGAAAGATACATGGAGCACTCGTTGGGCCCCGAGGGCTCATAGTAATGATACGGTACAGTAGGATGGGAGGAGGATCTACACAGGCGAGAAGAGAGAGGAGGAAGCCATGAAATAGCATGAAAGCCAATGCGCACAGGAGGGATGTCGAAATAGTGTGTAATTATGAGATTCATGGGTGGGGAGGGGGAAAGAAACAAGTCGGAGAGGGGAATAAAGAGAAGAAGGAACAAAGAAAAACAGAAAGATCAGAAGAATCCGCACTCACAGAAATGTTCATTATACACTCTCCTATTCATCTGACACTCACGCTAACACAAAGCTCAGAGGAGCTTTCTGTGACACGTGAGGGTGCCATGAATTTTTCAAAGTGTTCTTTGTGTTCTTGTCCTTGTGGCCAAATGTCAGAAAATAAAATCAGCAGATTTTCCAGTGTCTCTTAAATGCTAAAAACACACGGTACAAACCTGTACAGCATATTTTCAGCAGCGCTATTTCACTGTAAAATGCGACGATGTTTTCAGTGGTGCTGGCGTCCACTGCAGGGAGTAAATGCTATATTACCAAGTTGGAAGACATCATTAAAGATGCACTAGACACGATTTTATGTGGAAACATCAGTGGTGTCGGCACACACTAAATCACAGAGTGAGGCTGCAGCACAGAACAGAAGAAGTGTACCATTCGCTTCATGCACTATTTGGCCCACTGGCTCAAACAGGAAGTGACAAACTGAACCTGCCGTGAGGATAAAGCATCTCAATGCATATTTTAACAGACAAAACTCGATCGAAACTCGATCGAAAATAACATTCACAAACCAGTGAATAAGGGTTAAAAGTGCGTGCACGTGTGACACGCTCTTTCTCAGTCATTCTAATAACATTCGGTGGATTGGTATGTCTTGTTTTCTGCTGCATTGTGCAGCTCCAAACCCACTGCACCCATCAGACAAAGCTAGTTAGTAGATGTTAAATATGGTGGAACATTGATATTTCTTTTGGGAGTTGGTGGAGAGAAAAATGCTGCAAAATGCAAAATGCTCAGATGATTAAGGAGCTTATCTAAATATTTTTAATAAACATTGCTGTAAAGACACAAGAGTTAGCCTTGGGATCATTTAAACATGTGGTCCCTGGCTACATCTTAAAAGGTAAAAGGAGGAGAAGAAAAAGAAAACATACCAAAAGCCCAACAGTGAAGGGAAACAAGTTGGCAATAGGAGAACAACCAACTCACTGCTTTATATCTGCTTATCAATCAACTGATTATTAATTTATTTAACTGGCATTTCAAAGTATTTCTCTGCTGTCTGACGCTGACGGGTACGGAGCTCCACTCTTACACACCTTTACATTTAATGCAGACTGACCAAAAGAGCTCGTCCTCAAAGAAATAATGCAGCTGTAACGTCAGACTCCTTTACATTTGTTTTTTGTTTATCCTAATAAACCGACTAAATAGTGGAGAAACCATATTGTGTAAAATCTGACAAATATGAGAAACATTCATGTATTTAACAAGATTTTCAAGACTAAATAACTGTACGTCTGTAAAATTAAACATTGCCAATAATAATATGTCATTTCATCATAGGTTTTCAATGCTCTATCACAGCGGTCTCCAACCTTTTTTGCGCCACGGACCGGTTTATGCCCGACAATATTTTCACGGACCGGCCTTTAAGGAAGAAAAAAAAAAGAAGATTTATTCATAACACACGTGAAAAGACCAGGAAAACCGAGTAAACGATAAAAACGATAACAAAATAACGCTCAAAACCGATGAAAACCCTGAAAACCATACATTTCACTCCTGAGCCTCAACTCTCGCGGCCCGGTACCAAACAACTCACAGACCGGTACCGGTCCGAGGCCCGGGGGTTGGGGACCGCTGTTCTAGAGTCAAAAGTGAAGCTGTCCATCTGTCCAGTGACTAACACTTGGCTGAAACTGGGTCACGTAGCAGGACAATCATACGGTGGCCCTGAGAGGCCAAACCGACTGCAACTTAAGAAAACACCAGCAATAGGAAAAACGCTACAAAAGCACACAAAACACAACGGAAATAGGAGAAACAGATTTCCAAAAGCACAAGGGAAGTGTTTCTGGGGAGACAATAACCTGACGGACTCACGGACCGATACCGGTCCGAGGCCCGGGGGTTGGGGACCACTGCTCTATCATACAGTAATTAGTCTATTAAAATTCCCATCACATGCCTTGGTACTAAAAAACATATCATATTTTAGAATGGTAGAGTCTTTACTTTATAACATCAAATAAAAACCCTGCTGGCCTTTTACCCAATCATAAACTGACACAATATTACTACAAACCAAAATATTTAAATTGCATGGAACTATGTTTTGGCCATGGTGGTTTATCAATAAATATCCACAAGTCATATTAATCTTCCAACAGTTAAGGAATGCTAAGTTTAAAAAAAATGGAGCAAAGCTAATAAATATTTGGAGAAGAAAAAGAAACTGCAGGAATCTACCTGCAGGAATCAGGAGGCACCATGCCATAGACGTTGATCCTATCACACAGCTCCAGGGCTATAGCCATAGTAAACCAGCCGGTGCTCAACCAGGAGTTGGAACTCTTCCTGGAAGAAAAGAGAAGCTGTTCAGAAAAGATTAAAGACGGTAAAACCGTCGTTTTTAGATTTCATCTGATCAGTCGCTGAAGAGGAAACCCTGCAGCCGACTGTGTGACAGTTGATACATGGGCTGTTATAAAAAAGAAATAGAATAGAAAATAAAATAAAGATAAATACATAAAAACATTCATTCTGACACCGGCTATTGCTACATGAGAGCAGAAGTCACTGGATTGCCATTCAAATGCAACATTTTTCATTCAGTTTTCAATCTGTTGGCTTATTGTTCACATGCAAATGAGTTTAGATGAATAGCTGCATTCACGACAATGAGGTGTCTTTGTCTGCCGTTGTCTTTTTTGCAAGGTCACATTCAGCCATTTTTCACTTTGCCTGTCCCGCGTATGCAAAGAGACAATTAACATGTATTAAAAGTCAGGAAACGTGGCTCCGCTTCATATTCTCTATAAAAGCAAAGAACGTGTAGAAATCTTTGGTAACCCAGCTTGAGATGTTTGATGATAAAATTATTTTCTTTTTTCCAGCCGAGACTTTTGTGAGCTGTTTCTTTAGAACGTTATTACTTACTTACTATTATTGCAATATTAAAGATAATTTTATTTGAGATGCAGGATTGGGAATACAGTGCAAGCATTTCACTTCCTGATGCCTACCAGCTGCATACACTTGTTAGGCTTTCCCATAGGAAAATGATACCTTTGCATAAAATGTACACAGGAGGTATCTGTAGATCCCTCTGAAACCTTACACTGATGATGAAATGCTGCTTCCTGGAAATGTAACTACATGTCACATTAACACAGCCTGCAATGGTTGTGATTGGCCAGTTTAGTAGCATGGATTCTTCCCATGCATTACTTTTTTTTCTCCAGTTTTCAGATCAGTGAGTGAATGATGATTATAGCCTCAAGATAAGGACTCGCAGATGTCCTGAGGGGAGCCAAAACGATCACGAATGCTGGCAAAGGTGTCAGCCACTCATGTAGTTACATTTACAAAGATTGAGTCACATGTATCAAAGGGTTCTGGCATGTCTGGGAGCTGCTGCAGCTCTTCATTAAAGCCTCATCCAAATCGCAGCCTCTCGCTCAGCTCATATATCCATCACATCCTGTTTGCACAGGTTTGGAGTTTGTTCACAAATTGTATTTTACATCTCGAAGGTGATATCAGTGTCTGGTGCATCCTGCTGTTTTTGCATTCTTTAAACTGTGTTTACGTTTATGCGTCGAAACAAAAGATAATGAATAATGAATCCCTTACTCCTGCCTTTGCTTATGAAAAACATGCATCTGCTGTGTACTGAATTCTGTACATAAAAAAATAGGTAAGACATTAGTGCTTTCTATCTTTGTAATATATTCCCCTAATATAAACACTAATGACAGTTCTTTTGTGTGTTGTGTGTCTCTTGATTTCTTTGTCTCATTCAAGTCCCAAAAATATAAAACTCATTCATCATGTGAATATTTACCTGTCAATCCCAGTTTCCTTTTTAAATAGTTCATCAAACTTCAGCATCTTGATCCTGGAAATAATGTAGATTTTAAGTTTGGGTAGCAGCTGGTTTAAAAGCTTCAGGTTGTTGTAAACATGGCCTTTTCCATCACGTCTCATGCAACTGCTTGGTCCCCAGAAGATGAACACTGTGTCTTGGCTCATGTTGAGGAGCTCCTGCCTGCTCCGCAGCACCCTCTGCAGGCTGGAGTGAGCTATAACACGCAGGCTTGCGCGCCGACCGACGTCCTGCTGATACCCGAGGCTGGGAGCATCGTTCATACGAATAACACACTCAGAGCGGTCGATTTCTTCGCCCCTCTTGCTCGCTGTCAGTTGCCCAGAGCTGGTCACCAGGGCACAAGTCCTGCAGTGCATTTTCAGCGGCTGTGAAGTTCAAAGTTAAAAAGTCAGACATTGTTGCAGTTTCATTCACATTATGTAATGAGACAAAGTGGTGGGAGAGAAAAATCCAACCACAAGTCACAGATGGTAAATGGCCTGTATTTATATAGCGCTTTACTAGTGGCTAAGGACCCCAAAGCGCTTTACACAACCAGTCATCCACCCATTCACACACACATTCACACACTGGTGATGGCAGCTACATTGTAGCCACAGCCACCCTGGGGCGCACTGACAGAGGCGAGGCTGCCGGACACTGGCGCCACCGGGCCCTCTGACCACCACCAGTAGGCAACGGGTGAAGTATCTTGCCCAAGGACACAACGACCGAGACTGTCCAAGCCGGGGCTCGAACCGGCAACCTTCCGATTACAAGGCGAACTCCCAACTCTTGAGCCACGATCGCCCCAGATGGACTTATTCAGATAAATAAGTTTAAATCTCTCTGGCACTCCGTAAAACCAGATGTAGCTTCAGAGCAAGGTCCTAACATGATGTGCAAGATACTGTATTATTTTTACTTACATGATTGAAAATGTATCTTAAACACATGAAGATAAAAAGTGTGTTAAAAAGTGTTTTTTAGCCTTTGAGAACCAGAAACCAACAATATTTGCGTTCAGTAGTTGTTGACATATTTAAATGTGGGAAATGAGATACTAGTCAAGTCAAATCTCATTTTTTCTGAGATGCTCTGCTTGATTTTAAAATGTGGCAACCACGAAAAGCTTAAGCAAGCTTGAAGCATATAAAGCATCTCTTTTCCTTGGCACTACTCCTCACCCCCCACCCAACCCTGTGGCTTGTCACGTGCTCCAATGTTGTACTGTGGACATTTATGTGCTCTCTGTGCAGAGGAGTTTTTCTGTTTCCTGTTGTCATGCTGTCCTCCCATAGGTGCCCAGCATGAGTAGAGGTCTCTTTTTTTCCTCTTGTATTTTCCCATTGTTGTGTACTTTTTCAGTGTTTTCTCTGTAACGCTGCCGATCTCCGACTTGTATTCCCATGTGATGTCTTTGTTGTGTGTGTAAGTCGGGGGTGTAATAGGGGGGGTCCTATTCCTCTGCAGGGCAACCTGCATATGGCCAATAAAGCATTCATTCATTCATCTCTGAGATTGGGGCGAAAGTGGGGATTTTAACACTGGAGTTTAAAGCTAATTCATGTAGAGCCCTTTCAATCATTGATTATGATTCGGCTGCATCCAGATGGGTCTTGAATCAAGCAGTTAGACTTCACACATCTCAACATCACACATTTATTCAGCAGTTTTCACTTAAAATAAAAAAAAAAACAACATAAAACAGGGACGACATGCACTGGTCAAAATCCTGTTCATGCAGCTTTTTTGTGCAGCATTGGAGTGAAGAGTGCTTGTTTGGGCTTGAATTGTATGAACCAGGTATTCATGTTGTGGCATCCAACCAGGTTTTTCAAACTTGAAAACTGAATGATCCGACAGCAAACACCCAGAGACTCTTCACATGAATTATTCCCCACCCTAATAGACAGCTACATTGGCATTCTGAACTGTGCTCGGTACTTCACACTCCATCAGGTTCTGAGGTGGGAAGGTGTGTGTGCGTGTGTGTGTGTGCGTGTGTGTGTGTGTGCAGACAGGTGATTTTACCAGCGCCAGAGGCTGCACTGCTACCACAGCTATATTTATAATACACCCCCACTATCTGTGACCCCACGCTGAATGATTGCCTTGTGTGCATGTGTGTCTCTTTGTAAATGTGTGTATGAGTGCAATGTCTGGGGACGTCTGTGAATCTGTGTGGCGAGTTCAGTGTAGCCCCAAAATGTGTAATGAAATCACGTTTCTCTGGCGAGAATTTGCAACAGTCTGAAAAACATCGAGATCCAAAACTAGTTGGAATTCCTTCAAACGAACACACTCAAAGTCTTTGTTCGGAACGCTCATCACATTTCCATTCTCCAGCAGATTTCCCCCCTGAAAATCATCCCTGTTGGGATGTGCGCGCTCTCTCAATATCAGGTAGGTTGGAGCAAATTACACACTTGGTTGCACAAACACACCCTCCCCGTCTTGGCTGGGAAGAATCACAGTCCTTTTAGGTATTTCTTTCTCTGCAGACAACAGAGAGACAGAAAGTGCATTTGCCCCTAAGCACTGTCCAAGCAATTACTGCAAAGCATAATCCAAATTATAATAATGTTAAAAGTCAGGAAGGTGTGTTAAACAAGAGAAAGTCAATTGAAGGTTGCCAGGCTGGTGTCATAGTTTAAAGTGCCTGTGAAGTAATAAAAGTGTCCTTGACAGCGATGCTGAAGTTCCAGCTTCGGCTCCCGGAGCTTCTGACAGCTTGATGTTGCTGGGAAATAGGCACTTATAAATCCTGTATCACAGCGAGACTGGCTTTCAAAATCACAAGCAGAATATTTCAGAGGCCAGGCAGCTGAAGGTGCAACCCACAGACT